ATTAGGTCTGGAATAAGTTCAGTGTTACTGTTGCTATCTTAATAGCCCATTTTCAGTCAGAATGGATTTTCTGGTTTGATAATAGAATGAAGATAACTTTCAAAAGGTGAATGAATGAATGAATTCTATGTCTTAGTAAACAAATCTCACACAACTGCTATTTTATGTTATGTTTACATTGTAAAGTCTGTTAAGCTTCTTAAAGTAGAAATTGCAATAACATTTCCAAGTTTTGTTAGTATGAAAGGCATGATACTTTAATAATGTTTGTTCACTTGTATAAACAGTATTATAAACAGTTTTGTTGCTAAATACATTTTTGGAAAAAATCACAAGTATGTTACTAACACAGTTGCCTTTGGAGAAGCAAGGAATCAAGCCCTATAGACTACTGCTTCTGCAACAGAAGTAGAGGGTTCCCAGTTCTTTCATTTTCCTTTGATATTGGATCATTAGGGGCTAGATTTTGATCAGATATTTATCCCAAAACTCTGTATTTGGATCTAGTGCTTTTTCAGCATCATACTGGAGTTTTCCTTCACAGAGCTTAGAATTAAGCTCATAACATACAGTTATTGTGAGCTATAGGAAGAAAGAGATTTATGGAAAATGTCTCCTTATCTTTTTTCCCCTGAATATTAGTAATCTCAATTTATGGTATACTGAGGACCCAAAAATCTGTTACGCAGATTTTACTTTGGACAAATGTAATAAAATAGAAGTTCTAAATAAATCTTCAAAGAAGACAGAGAACTCATAACTATTTCCAGAAATTATGGCCTTTGTCTCTCAGTGCTTCAAGCTAGAGGAACTTCTTCCTTTTGATTGTGGGATGTGAGGTGTCATAGTGTCTTTGTCTGGTGCCTCGTAATACCCTTTTTATTTGACCTAAGCGTCATGGACATGTGGATGCTTTCACCTTGCTTTGCTCAGAGTAATGCCACAAGCTGTAAGGCACTAGTGAACCAGTCCCTCTCTTTCTATTTGCTGTCTAGAACTGCAACCTCTGTCTCAACTGTTATTGAGGTAATTTGGCAGTTTGCTGCTGATTTTGGAAGACGCAAGCAGAAACACATTGTTCTTTTAATTGCCAGAGCTCTTTGTATTTTCAGGGAACATTCCTCTTTAATTAAAGCCCCATATATTGCATGTATTCGCACACACAGACTCCAAACTCTACTTAAGCTGCCACCAACACACAGCAACTTAAAAATGGGGGAAAAATCAATAAAGCAATCATCAAAGTTAGGCAGGGAGAATCTGTCCTTTCAGCACAACTATTTTGCACTGTTTTGGTGCAGGCCGGTAGCCAAGTAAGTGTAAGGTCTCTCAAAGACGTTTTTTGAGAAACAGCAGGCTAAATACAACAACTGGCAAGTATGACAATCGGCAAATACAAATTGCTTACTCCTGGATCATTCTGGCACTTGTTGGAAGATTTGATGAGGGCAAGTTGTTGGCTGTCTCCATTCCTGGACAAAGCTGTATCTCAAAAACAGAGAAAGCACAGCTCCTTGCAACTTTTTGTTAATCACCAGCCTTCCATTTCTAGGGATGTGATGGTTCTGGCAATATGGGACTCACTTGTATCTCAAATAGTGCTATCGCTTGTGGCCAGATACAAAATAAGCACATACAAATAAAATACCAAATGAGAAAGCACCTGATTTCAGACAGTCTTCAAATCTAGGCTATGAAACTGATTTTTCTTAAAAATCTGTTGCTTCACTTTTTGTCTTCATGCTGAAGCATCTCCTTGCTTAAATAAAATAGCTTTAAAAAGTAGTAGGGCAGTTAGTATAACTGCTGGTGTACATCACGGGGGCAAATAAGTTTGTGGAACAGAACCAAACATGTGGAGAGTAAAGGCTCCAAGCAGAGAAGGAATATTCTGAATATTTTTTTAATGTCTATTTAATTGCTCAAATAATCTAATGATATTAAATTTTATTTATTATTCAGCTTAGAGTTCTTCACTTAGCTGATTCTTAGGGTCTCTTTGGAGACTTCACTGCTGGGACTCAGTCGATACAGATGTATCCAATCTCAGCTGTATGAACTAGCCCTGCTGTAGCTAGTGTTTTGTGTATCACGTTTGCTTATGTGTATACACAAACATGTGTTTTGCTTGCTGTAGGCATTCAGCATCTGATGGCCCAGCACTGTGGAAGGCTGCATAAATGCCCCTTGGAGAGATTCACCTTTCCTTGTTACACTGCTGGTTCTGGTTACATATACCCTGCTGCAGTCCCAGACGTGTCAGTCAGTCCCTTTCCGGAAGAAGCAAGCCATTCCAAATGTATGTGGGTACTAAACAGTTTAAAGTCAGCTTGCAAAACTGGCCATCTGGCTGGGCAGAAGGACCTTTTAGGAAGAAAAGGTGTCCTCTGCATAAGCCAATGCTGAGTAGCAAAGTCACAAGTATCTGGAGATGGTGAATTATTGGGAATGATCAATAATGGCTCTTCTGAGCTGCAAGTGAAAAAAAGTAATTTCTGTGTGAAAAAACAAGTGAGACATAGGCTAACCAGAGCTGATTTGAACCAGTAATATTAGGTACAGTGACTGGTAGTGAAAGACAGACAGTTAACTAGAGTGGAAATTCGTGCAGAGAATGAAGTGGTGTTTTAGAGCAGATTTGTATCACAGCAAGACTCAGTGAAACCCAGCCAAGGAAAATTGGTTCTCAGAAAGATTAGAGCTACATAGCAGTGTTTCTATTTTACCCAGAGAGACAGAAATGGAGCAGGTAGATATCTCATGGATTGTGGAAATGAGGTGCTCACTGCAGTATGCCAGAGAAACCTTCATCACGTGCTCCTGATGTGCTGTTCAGGAGATTGAGACACCATCTATCTGTCAAACGCTACTCATATCACCTGAATAGTGAACTAGTTTCCAAATATGTGCAGGGCATTTGCAGCTCATTTTCTTTCTCAGGAGAATATGGAGCCATAAGTCCCCATATCATTTTTCAACTGTGATCGAAGTAGACCTTAGCTGATGAATGAAGTCAACAGAGTTGCTGGCAGATGCAAATCTGTTTAGGTCCTCAACTGGATCCAGCCCTCTAATAATCAGGATGTGTGAAACTCAGTTCCCCATTCCCTCCTGCTGATGTAGTTTGCTCCCTGGCAGTGTCAGAAAGAAGTTCTAGGAGCAAGCCTTCTGCTCCAAAGGATGAACAAAGACAAATGCTTTGCTGTGTTGATGCCGTGAGTTTTTTTGTGTGCTGTTTTGCTCTGTATCTTTCTTCCCTGAGGGCCTACCCTGTCCCAGGCCCCTCCTGAACCCTCTTCTGGGCCAACTCATTCATTTTTTCCAGGACAAAACTCGTGATATTTGTTGTGCTGAAAAGTACCTTCTAAAAATCTATTAACCTGGCCTAAGATTTCCTTAAAATTAAAGAAATCAGTAGACTGCATGCACTTGTATGTGGTGCTTTTCTCCAGCTCTAATGAAAACGAATAGCTTCTCATGCACATTCTTTCTGGGAGGTACTGGCTGGTCACTCACTTCATGCAAAAGGCATGGCGTCAGCCTTGCCGTGACATTAATGCTGGGATGCTGCTTTTTCAGTCTAAACCTCCTCTTTTCTGCGATTTGTGAGTATCCCTGCAAAATACCTACATTGAAATTCTCACGCTTTTCTCTTCCAACACTACATTTTATTATTATTTTAAGAGTTTAAGAATAAACCTTGGATATTATTAAACTCTCTAAAAGAAGAATCTTTCCATATCAATACAAAGCCGATGACATTTCTGAAAGCTAAAAATCACGTTTGTTCTGAATTTCAGACTTGGCGCAAACGTAGATCTTGATAATGTCTGTCAATGTTTGTTTAGTCTGGAAATCTTTGGCACCAAAATAAAAGTTCCTTGCAGCAAGTGTGACGACAGTATTTACCCTGCCTGTGCATTTCTTGCCTATTTTTCACTACTCCCCTTGTGCTCAATCTGTGCAAGATAAATTATAATTTGTTTCTAACTTGGTGTCTCTTGAAAACTTATCTTCTATCTGTAGAACCATGAGACTGCTTCTTCCTTGTACATGACAGTAGAACCCACCGCTCTGTGATCTGCAGCGAGGGACAGCATTCAAGTGAAGGGTTTATTAATGGTAAGCAGAATGCTTGCAGCTGCGTCGTATAGCTGGTTTGCATGCCTGCTGTCTCCTGAGATATTTCTAGATTAGGTCAACTTAATGTCCACAGACAAATAAGCAGTTTCTTTATTAAAGAGCTTTGCTGGAGGCTGCTTGAGCCACACCATGAGATGTGAGTTATAGCAGGTGCATATCAGTTAGAGAGAAATGAAGACATCTGTGAGGCATGGGATCCGCTGTTACCTGAGTATAATATATGTTCCTATACCTCCCTTTTCAGTCCATTTCTTCAGTTCCCCTTCAGGTTAATATTGCTGGTGGCACTCACCTGGTTTGTTCTTACTGCTATACACCAATATAGAGAAGATGTCACTGAAGATACCTCCACTTCCACAGAAAGCCAAAAAGGTCTTGTGCACCTAAGCAGTTGATTGGATGAAACCTTAATTCAAAGCCAGGGTATCTATTTTCAAAACCAGGATCTATCCTTTTCTAAACTGAGGTATAATTTTTCTGCACTTGGCTGTGAAGAGAATGCCAACGTACGTTTAGCTTCCTTTCAAGAATAACAACGAAGAAAGAAGAGGCTTCTGCCTGAGGCCCACCATGGCAGAGTAATTCCCCCACCCCCATTAAACTAAGTCATAACAGCAGTTTCAATCGAACACCACTACTGCATTGATTATGGAACAAAGAGCATAATCTCAAAGCTGCAAAACTGCTGCTACACACACACACACTCGCTCTGTGCAGAGCAGCTCACATGATGCATTTTATCATTGCATGATACAATTATCTGTTAGTAGATGTACATCTGTACCATGGCAATAGCATAACCGATGCAGTCAAAGGATATTTTGAGATATCGATGTTTTTCTTTTTGGTTTAGAAATATGATGGGGTATGTACATTTGATCCTCTTATCTGCCTTCCTCTCGGTTTCCATGGCATCCGAAACATGTAAGTCACATTTTAAAAATACTTTCTGATGAGATTTATTCTGTAGAAATGCGTAGGCTGTTCCCAAACTGATCATTTTTGTTAAACCTAAAATTAGCTAGTTTACCTCAAGCCACAAATCATAGCTTAAAAACTAGCTTTATGTGTTTTCTCTGTATGTTAAAGTGCACTGAGTACTGTCCATTTTTGTGACATTAAGTCTGGATTCTACTTCTGCTTCTTGGCATCTCTGCAAGCAAAAAGAAAAGGGTCTTTTTGAAAGGATTTGAGAGTAGCTGGTGTTCCAGGCCCCAGCTGGGCAAAGTCTCCAAGAGCATCCTTAAATTGCCCTGAACAGGGCATGTGTGTGTGCATCTTGCTGAACCAGGGACGTAACTGGGGGCTGTGCTCACTAAAAATGCTTTTTAATGTCCAGGTTTTGGGGGTGTTAACGCACGAGTGCAACGTAACAATAAGATTTCCCCACACATTGGGGATATTCAAAACAGCAAGCTCTTTCTGACGGGTCAGCTCAGTTGGCTCAGCTATATAATGCTGCCCAGTGACACAGCCTCACATAGCACTCGCGTAGTTCTAGTCTCCAGCTGAGCTGCTTATTTGTTTGAAAAATATTGTAAGATATGTTTTCCCCATATTCTAAATTTTACAATATGAATGCTCAGTTTCAAATGATTTAGGTGTACTAAGAGGCCAAATTCTGCTGAAGAATTTGCCAAGATAATTTTCACTGATGTCACTGAGTATAGATGAGGCCTCTCACTTTCTACGTGTCCCCTCTCCTCCTCTATTTTCTTCTTGAAGAAAGGAAAAATGCGTTCCTCCTTTGGTGGGGCAATGCTCCCTTTCCTGACACCCCTCAAATGTCCCACTGTGTTTGCAAGGCTCATGGGTGGGAATGCTGTTAAAATGATGGGCTTGGGGTTAGTCATACCTGATGTGGCTAATTTAGGGGCCTGAATTAGTAAGTAAGGCGACATGTAATGTCAGTGGAGAAGGACCACTTCTTTAGAAAGAACCAGAGCAGAAGCCAAGTGTTCACCATGTAGAGAGACTTACCACCTGATTTGTGCACTTAAGTGTCTGAAGCCAGATGCTGGCAATACTCCCACAAAGTGCTATTTTTGATAGACATTCTCTATTTGGTTTAGCTTTTTGGTTACCTGCTCTCATTTTTGTGCTCCCTTATATACTGTAGCTCCTCTGTCAATCTCAATCTTTGTCCAGTCTCCATCCTTGCTCGTTTTCTCATCTTTCTCTTCTCCAAAGTTCAATTTAGCTTTCAGATTAGCATTTCTGTTTTCAGCAGTCAGTTCACTATTCAGGTTCCTGGGCACTTAAACATCTGTCAAAATTGCTTGACTCAAGTTTCTCTGGACCAGTTTCAGTATTCAAAAGTAGAAATATACTCAGTTAAAAAAAAAAATGTCTTACTCCCAACTCCTTCCTCCTTTTTCTTTTGTGTGAGTGTGTATGGTTTGCTTCCTATGCTTCTTACCTGTCTCTTATTCTTTTCTGGCATCTTTTCACCTTCCCATCAGATTCTTCCTTTCAGTCTGTTGTATTTCTTTTATTTTTTTTCACGTTTTTGTGAACTTCAGAGGGAAGGTCTTCTAGCTTTTGTGTTTTTTTGGTTTTTTTGATGATCCTATCTACAGACTTCCTCCTCCTAGTTTTTTCTTCAGTGAAAGAAAAAATTTTTGATTTCCTTTTTCTATATTAAAAAGGCAGAGCAAGAGCTCTTTTCTGTTGTAGAAATAAATATTAATTACACTGTATAACTAAGGAAAGCTAACTTCATAATACAGCATTAAAACCAGTGCTTTTCTTTGTGTTTAAAGTCCTGTTTTGAATAAAACCAGAATTTCAAGCAAACATTTGCATAAGAAGTTAATTTCAAAAAATCAATGTTTTCCCATTAAAATATCATATTTTTTAGTGTATCTCTTGTTTGAATCTAGGGTAGGTTTATTTTTTTTAATTCTGTCCCATGCATTAATTACTATTTTTGCAAATAAATGGCTCGATAACTCAAGGTAAACAAATTTTTTCTTGAAAAAAATCCAGTGAGAATAAGTTTTCCATATATAATCTCTGAAAACTCAAGAAAGGTAGTTAGAAGCACCTGGCTGGCCTAATGATCCAGGAATACCAAGTTGTCCTCTGTCTCAGTGGGCTAAGGTTTATTTAATCTGAGATTTTTATCTTTCGTTCATTTGCAGTTGATGCAATGGAAGGTGAGGCTTTAGTTATAAAATGTCCTCGATGGAGTTCATCTGTGAAAATCACCTGGTATCACACGGAGAGTAACAAAATAATTCCTGCAGAAGAAGAGGGATCACGAATATTTTCCTTTACACGATTTCTTTGGTTTCTGCCAACTTCTAGAGAGGATTCTGGGAACTACACTTGTGTTATACAATTGTAAGTGCAACACTGAAAAGTGAAAGGTGTAAGACTAGAAAAAAAACCCCATGTTTTAATAATACAGTGTAATACAGTGTAATTATTATGTGTGGAAATGATGTCATTTTTTTGTGGTGTACACCAATTCATGTAACTTTTCATTCTGCTATTCCTATTTTTATGACAGGTTGTTAAATCAGTCTATGACTGAACTACAATAATAATCCATATGTTTATAAAAAACAAAACTCACATTTGTTACAAATATTTAGTATATTCCATCTAAAAATGCTATCATTGACATACCTTTATTCCATTTTTAAAGTTCAAATAATCGCACAAAGTCATTCAACATGAGTGTGCAGGTGTATCCATACAAGCAAGGAGTATGTTTCCCAAGTCAGATTCGTTACCCAAATGACACTGGAAGAGGAAAAATTGTTTGTCCTACAATTGACAATTATAAGAATGCTACTATCGTCCAGTGGTATAAGGTAAATAATATTAATATTATTATTAAACTGATAGTGCCAGTTGTAGACCAGATTACTGTGTGAAGCTATTTGCAGCCAGATAAAGTATGTTTTCTTTTCCAGGACTGCAAGCCTCTTCAGGGAGAGAGATACTTCAAGGGAGAAAAATACATTTTTATTAAAAACCAAACAAAGGAGGATAATGGTTATTATACTTGTCAATTTACCTACACTCATAGAGGAAATGTGTTTAATGTATCAGCAACAAGGATTTTCATAAGTAAGGGTAAGACAGTCGTTTTGTAGCTTGCTAAGATAAAAGGCTGATGTCTACTTAAAGCAAAGGAAACTCCTTTTGTGTATTAAAGAGAAAAAAGAGTTTCTGTAGGTTTGTTTTAAGTTCTTACTGAAAATTTAGATCAGCTTTTTTAGGTGAATTTTGTGGATGGGGATTCCAAAGGGAGCAAGATGGGTGTAAATTCAGACCTGGTCACATACAACTTTTTGCTAAAAGTCTCTGAGGACTGTGGTTGGTAGAGCTGTCTGCTAGCACTTATTTCTGAAATGAAGGGTCTCCTCAGTGGGATGCCACAAAGCTCTGCTTTCTATTTGTTCGAAGGGAGAAGAATTTGTAGCTAGTGAGCATCATCTAGTGGTCATTGGATCACTGATGTGTTGATGGCCTACAACTCAATACCTTGTGGTCCATCTTGATTATCTAGCATTTATTTGGTAGTAGAGCTGAAAAAACTTTTAGATTTGTCTTGAAGGAGACAAAATGAGCAATATATATACACACGGGCAGAAAATGAGTGGAGCTCAGTGATTACTGTGTCTTTGTTATTCAGAACGCAGCCAACATGGCTGAGATGTGTGGACTTCTGGGTGCCTTTAGGCTGTGTATTTGGATGGTGGTCAAAGGAAGAGCATGCAGCAATCAGCAGTTCCAGATTGTATCAGCTTGCCAAGACTTCAAAATGTGCCTTCAGTTCTGCAATCAGACCAGCAGAAAACCAGTCAGAAATGTTGGGGGTCTGGGGCTAGGAGCAGCTTGGGTTTGGGTGTTTTGTTTTGGGTTTGGGTTTTTTTTTTTAATTTTTGAAAACCAGGGAATGTTAATTTGCAGACTGACATCAGACCTTTCTGCTGTGGGGAGGCACCCAGCTTTGTACGCAGAATGCAGGTTTGGAGCGTAGGAGCCTTTATTCCAGTTTTTGCTGCTGTGCAAAGATCTCAGTGGTGGAGTTTGTTCTGATTATTCTGAGCTGGATAGAAGACGGATTCGTGCCAAGACCTAGTACAGTAGCTTAAGAGGTGTCATGCCTTTCCTCCACCTCTTCCCTGTGACACCCTATTGGTCTACACAATACTTCTCTGCCTAACAATTTTTGTTTGAATGTACTTTCATCAAAACTTCTCTAAATTGGTCAGGAATATTGTTGTGTCTGGGTTATAATGAAAATTGCTGGGTTTTATTCAGCACAAAGGCATCCAAATTTATGGCAGACTTTGTTACATCCAGGCAGATTACTTAATTTCAAGAGAAAGCCAGATTAATTTAGAAATTATCGCACAAAGAAGGGATTGAAACATAGCATGTGAAATCTGATCTGGATCTGTCCTGTCTGCTCCAGTTCAAAGTGACAACTTCTCTGAGTTTTTATCAGCCTTTAAAGTTATTATGCTGATGAGTGGAGCTGTTACGTTTTGATATGGTTGGCTTATGATCTACATTCCTGTTGCCTTGCAGATCCACACTGACGCAGAGGACCTTTTGCCTCTGAATGCTGGCAGCTGAGAACTTAGCATAGTCAGCTAGCTAGGAAGTTACTGACTTTCTCCTGAGTTCTTTTTTACCGGATCCAGATGATGAAAATTAGAAACAGTTAGGATGGGTGAAAAAAAATTGCTTTTCTGGCAGCCTGGGAAGCAGGGGGTTAAATGAGTTCCTGCAGATTTTTTTAGGGAAAG